CTGCAGTTCCTACTATGTGTCTTTTCCTGTTTTTGGTTTTCTGACCATCTGGGGAGTGAGCCCCGAGGCTTTCTGCTCCATATAATTTCTGTTTCCGGATGAGCCGATTGGTTTTTTTTTTTTTTTTGGCTTTCAGATCAGTTCTGTTTTGTTCAGATCCAAATTCTAAAGATTCCTGTCTTGTTTTTACCCCCCAACCCTGCAATCCTAACAGGTAAAAGCTAAGAGAGCCAGAAGCAGAGAACACGCTGCCAGGATACAACGCCGACTGAATTCATCTTCCGATTAACTTTTCTTCCTGTCAGGTGGAGTGCCCAACCTTGCTGGGCTGTGAACTGATCTCTAAGCTGCTTACAGCCGCCGAGACCTTTTACACAAACCCAGTGTCAGTTGGACTGATTTTTGTTGTTTGACTACATTTACATTTCTCTGCTGGCAAATGTATTCTTTTTTTTTTTGATATTTATTGGGTTGGCTGAGTGTTTAAATCTTCCACAAATGGATTGTTACACGACCTGTGATGTTTAAACTCTGCAATCTTCATTCTGCTGCAGTGAAATGTGTTATCATCACTCCATACGAGAAGTGAAAACTCTGGTTCCACTCGGACCTGCAGCTTAATCACAGACCATTCTTACACTGACACCTGGTGGGCTTAGAACATATTGCAGTGGAAGGGTGATATATAAATTTTCAGCAACTTGATCTCGATCGTTTGAAGAATTGAGAGTTTGAAGAAAATAGTAATTTTAGAAATTTCCAAATGAATAAAGTTCATGTTTTATCATTATGTTTGACTTTTTAGAAAAATCCATCTTGTGAAATAATTTGCACACCGCAGAATGAATGATAAGAATGAACAGAGAACAGCAGAGCTTAGAAACAGGCCCCTTGGCACAAACATGGTGGGCCAACTATGATGCCATTCTAAGATAATCCCATCTGCCTGCACATGGTCTGTATACCTCCATTCCCTGCCTGTTCATGGCTGTCTAAATGTTTCTTAAATGTTCCTATTGTATCATTTTTGACCACCTTCCCTGGCAAAGAGTTCCTGGCATCTACCACCCTCTGTATTTCTTAAAAAAAACTTGCCTTGCATATTTGCTTTAAACTTTCCCCCACTCTCACTTTAAACCTATGCTCCCTAGTATTTAATATTTCCACTCTTTGGTGGGGGGGAGGTGAAATGTCTCTGACTATCCACCCTATCCAGGTGTCTCATAATTTTATATTTTTCTAACAGGTCACCCCTCAGATTCTGATGCTCTAGTGAAAACAATTCAAGTTTATCCAACTTCTTCTTATAGCTAATACACTCCAAGCCAGGCAACATCCTGGGAAACCTCTTTTGTACCCTCTCTAAAGCCTCTACGTCCTTCCTATAGTGCGGTGACCAGAACTGCGCACAATATTCCAAATGTGGCCTAACTAAACTTCAGTCCGTCAAGGCTGTTCTATCAATTACGTCCTGTTTGTATCTATTCTCCTCAATTCCATAATTGTTCATTACTTTTGGCAAACAAACAGTCACTAACTTTAAAACTCTGTGTTCATATAAGCCCTTTCTGTTAATTTTATGCTGTCCCTTACCTCCTCAGATGTCCATGGTTGTTTTTGTTTTGTGAGGTGGAGATTTTCCTTCTCATGGATACAAACTACTTCTGAATTAAGAAGAGTATGGGGTAGAGCAGCAGCCAACTGAACGGTCTGAAAAACAAAACATTCAGCCGGAGATCTGACCTCACCAATAATAATATCAGCTGGGATCATAGAATATTAAAAATTAATGTTAAGTCAGAATTGTTGATATTTTTGATACATAACTCTACTTGTTAAAACTCCAATCCCCTTCTACCTCCATCCACCTATGCTCTATACACGCACACGCACAAACAGTTCAATGGTGCCAATCCTCTGGATATGATGGAGCACTTCCTTTTAGTTTTTCCTTTGGGTCTTTTGCTGCCTCACAGGAGGCACAGAGCAACTGGTTCACAAATGCTAAAGTCTCTGACTTCTTGGTTAAACAGAAAAGCTTACAACAATGGGTGGGAGAAAAAAAGATGCATTTCTTCAGCTTCAGGTACTTTTACTGGAGAGAACAACTCCATTTCTCCTCCAGAGGCCCAAGGACTTCTCACTGTATCCTCACACCCACAAGTTGATCAGCCACTGAGGAACCAGAGTGGTTCTTGTCAGGCTGATGACCTTTGGCATCCACAACTGATTCCACAAATCAATCAGCAGCCTGTTGCTGACCAAATCTCTCTTTTTATACATACCCCAGTGCTAGCCCTTTTACAAACTGTCTCCCCCACTGCTTGAGCAAAGCAGCAGTGTAAACACCACACACGATGAATTTTAGTTGCTTGCTTTTTTAAAAGTACTGCAATTAATTCCACAGTCCTTTGTTGTAAAACAGTCCCCTCCCCCAATTTAGTCCACAATCAAAAAAATGTAAAGTAAAGAGATATAGTCTTTATAAATAAATTACACACCTTACATCTCAACTGCAAGCAGTTCTGGCTATGGCAGTGCAAACAGGAACATTTTTTTTGATGTGTTCACAGGATGATGGTATCACTGGCTGGACCTGCATTTCTTGCCCATCCCTAATTGCCCAGAGGGTGGTTAAGAATCAACTACATTGCTGTGGGTCTGGAGTCACGTGCAGGCCAGACCAGGTAAGGATGGCAGTTTCTTTCCCTGAGGGACATCAGTGAACCAGATGGGCTTTCCCTGACCATTGACAATGGATTAATGGTCATCATTAGACTCTTAATTGCAGATTTTATTGAATTCAAATTCCACCATCTGCTATGGTAGGATTGAAACTTGGAGTCCTCAGAACATTGACTGGTTCTCTGGATTAACAGTCCAGCAATCATACCATTCCCCATAAATCAATTACTCAATTGATTGCTACAATTAATAATGTTATGTGACTTGGTTAAGGTTGTTGACTAGATCAGGGTGGGATTTCTCATTTACTTTTTCCCCTTTATCAAACCCAGGGCTATTGATGCCAATTATTGTGCCTTCACTGCTCCACTGACTGGAGAACTGACAGCATAGCTTTGACCAAGATCCAAAACTAGGCTCGTTAGGGCACAACAGTACATCAGCACAAATGTGAGATTTATTACAAAGAATTAAAAGGGAAAAGCATCTCAATATACTTTCAAAAAGTATCAAATGTAAAATTGAAAAGTTTAGACATGTTGTACATCTTTAGAATTGCCCTCTGTTTAACCCCTGCAGAATTGGGTCAATCTGCAGAAGCTTTATATGGTGTCAGTCTTTCATCTCCTATTATCAATAAAGGACAGGCTGTCATCTGTCTTTTCAGGCAGGAGACTGCTGTTCATTCTATTTAGTTGCATGACCTTCAGAAACTCTTTCACTTCGGTCAAAATTGTTTCCTTCTCTTATCTCCAGCGTATTGGGATGTGCCAGTCTCAAGAGCAGACTAATCCCTTTCTTTATCTTTCTGAACCTTCTTAAAGGCATCAGTTCTTTTAAGTATGGGCTTGCTATATACTACAATACCATACGTTTTTTCTTCGCATTAACTTTATAAACATTTTCACACTGCCTCTTCCCAACCAAAACATTAGTTGGGGATGTAGTGGAGGTTTTTTGGGAGTTTCTGTTGAGGAGAATTCCAGCTTAGTTTTCATTGTGATGCAGTCAGGGGACAAAGTTTTCCAGAGTGCTCGGGATCTCTCTGTGACAGCTGAACCTGTTGGATTGCCCTGAAGGGAAATGGTGGTGAGGTGGCTGGGAATGTCCTCAATGAAAAAGCTAGAACTCCTTCAATGTTTCATGGTTCTGTCATCATTACCAGTTTAGTGCCTGGGCCTACCCAATGCCAGAGTCATTGCAGAACTGAGGAATCTCACTCAGCCCATCAAGAAATCCATTCAACCCCATTCCTTCACTCTCCGTGTAGCCATATATGTTTATTACCCTCAAGAGCCCACTGACAGCCCCTTGAATTGTCTATCCCATTGGGCGAATCCTCTAGGTCTGTGTGCAGAAGGCAAGATATGATTGGCATCTGCGAACTTGATCATGCAGTTTAAAGGACCTTTGGTCCCCGTCCATTTCTTTTTGAAATCATTCATGGCTTCACTCTTATTGCTGTCAAAGGTTGTTACCTCTCTCGGTGTTTTTCAAGAAGAAAAATGTTCTGCTTCACATTCCTCACTGCATCCCGTGTGTCCTTATATGATTAGCTAATGGGAAGAGTTCCTCTTTGTTTACCCTATCCTTCATATTGATACTGTCATTGTGGACAGATACAGCGGAAGTGGATAGATTGGTGAAGACCAGGCCAAGTTGTTTCTTCCCTTTGTTATCAGCTGCGAGCCCAGTCTGACAGATATGTCATTTAGAACCCAACCAGTTGGTCAGTGATGGTGTTTCTGAGACACCATTGGTGATGTCCATTGATGTCTTCCAACCAGAGTATATTAAGTACACTTGGTCCCTTCGTTGGTTCTTCCATCAAGGAGGAACTCTCATTCATCAGTTGAGGGAGACTGGTAAGTGTTAAGCAGCAGGAGGTTTCCATGCTCATGCTTGACCTGGGGTACACAAGCAGCTGTTGGAGTTGAAACTCATCTGGAAAATGAAGCTAGTCTGTGCAACAGTGACCAAGTAACCATTATTGATGGTGGTAAAAGCCTATCTGATTCACTCATGCTCTTGAAGGAAAGAATCTTTTTGGTCTACACGTGACTCCACACCCACAGCAATTGGCATGACTCTTAATTACCCTCTGAGTGAGCTAATCAATTCAAGGGCAACTAACAATGGGTAACAAATGCTGGCCTTGCCCATGATCAGCTCATCCCCTAAAGGAAAAGGAAAAGGAAAAGGAAAACTTCACGTGATCTGCAGTTGATGCTGGTAACTCCCAGTCCCTGAATGGCCTTAATAGATTGGGATGGATATTATGTCCTAACAGGCCATTTTGGAAAGAACAATGCAAGACTCAGTCTCTACTTAATTGGATGCTGGCCCTCATCACGAATGGTCACTGACACTGTGGAGGGAATAGTGAGGCATTTCCAGTTATTTTCTTAAAATTGTCCTGTTTTCTTTTATATTTAAAAATGCAACTTTACAAATATTTGTGGTCTCCTTCCTGGATATGAACACAGTTTCAATAAAATTAAATCATTCAATTCATCTGGTAATAAAGTATTTTTGTGAGCGGCTATAACTGATGAGATTAGGCGGAGTTAATGTATTGTTCAACTTGATGCACGTAGCACTCCCACAGCAAATCCTTTTGACTTCAGATGAAAATTGGATGATAGTACCCAAGACGGTTTCTTCTCTGTCTTTTTGTTAAATGGCTCCATTCTGCATTCTACCCATTTCCACAAACTTGGCCTGGCTTCTGCATACAAATCGAGACAAAGACAATGATCCCATTGCTCACTGCTCTAGGTATCCATGAGTAAACTCAGCAGTGTGTTCACTACATTTGTTGCCACAGTTCATGCAAGGACATGAAAATGTAGACCAGCATGTTTGAGATTCTTTTTGTACTGCAGCAGACCTTTTATTTGCAATACTTATACCTTTCACTTTGACTTTATCCCCATTGCATTTTAATGTCTCCTCTCAGTACTGTGTTATACATCTTTTTTCCCCTAGAATGCACAAAATCATTTCTTCAAGAATGTATTTTCTCTTCTCCATTCCTGGAGGTGATGACTTAGTGAAGGACCCCAGTAAGTTGAATCCTGGAAAATTGTAACTCACAAGCCATGT